AAAAACAATTCAGAATTTTTCCTTTCTATAAACTCAGTTGTGCCACTGATATCCAGAGACGGGAAAAAGAAAAATATTTTATTAGTATTTTTCAGCCAAAACTTAATAGTGTTTTATAAATTACTTGTGATTTCCCCGTACTTTTGTCATATTGTATCTATGACGTCATAATAAACATTTAACGTTCCGCTTAACATGACGTCATAATCACTGTTACTATGATACTATTATAAGCTTCTGAAGATTGAAAATGAAAGCGCTAAAGCTTAACTGAGGATTTTTGTGTTTTCTTTTTACCATTTTTTAATATCGTTATCCGATTACTGAGACACTATTTAAATTTTGGATATATATATATATATATATATATATATATATATATATATATATATATATATATATATATATATATATATATATATATATAGATCTCTTCATGTATTGAAGATTATATTCTTCAAATTATGATCTTATGATCTCTGTAGACAGGAAAGGGTCATACCGGAGGATCAAATTCTTCTATAGTTGTATATAGGAAGACAATATTTGTAAAATTTTCATTTTAATAACAACAACATTAAAATGTTTTACTGATATGGATGCATCATCACAAGCGCCTCAAGTTGATACTGGTTTGCACTTTTTCCTATCTGATATACACGGGCCTCTTGTATGAATTTAGATATTCGCTTCAATAATTTCGATATCGACTCTTTAGGAGAAAGTGACGTAGAGTGCATATTGCAAATTCGTCTTTTTTCATATTTGCTGAACGTCTAATCAAAATTACGATTAGATGTTATCAAAAAGTGCGTGGACTAGGGTTAGAAAATTAGTACTTTGTAGTGTATGCTTTCAGAATTTATAACAAAATATTTGCCAAAAAAAAAAAAAAATAAATAAATATTGACATTCTACATCTGATAATTTTTTTGCTTGAATTTTTCTGATTTTGTAGTTTATTTTTTAGATAGAAATATAAGTGGTTGGGTCAAGGATGCTGTATAATCATTTTCTATGAAATGTATCGTCGAGGAAATTTGAACTATCATCGTTACATTTTTTTTTCAGTGACAAGAGTTCATTTTTAATTTTTGGTAAACCTTTCTGCTTCATATATACTAGTATGTCACAGAACTCTGATTTTATCTATATTTTGAAAGGATCCGGAGAAGACCGAAGATCCTAGCAATGAAATTAAGTTTTTTCGAGCTCCTTAATCAACCTTTGCCTAGATTAAAAGGATAACCGTAATGCCCCAGCCGAACTTGCACTTGATTGCACAGTCACTCAAATGCAAAGACTAACATATAAATTCATAACACAAGATAATCATAAACAACAAACCATTCATTACAAAATAACATGAGTGAGTCACCAAAAAAAAAAACATTAATTAAAGGCATCGAATTTCCTCACGTTTTTTTTCTTTTGAATATATATGATTGCGACTTGTGATCGACATACATAAAAATTTTACAAACAATTCTAAAATCTATTAACATGGACTTTTGGAAATGCTTACGATTTTGTCAGAATGTCACAATTTGTAAAACAGGAACATAAAAAATAAACACATTGCAATTTTGGTAAAATTCAACATGCCGGGTAAGTTTGATCAATTGGATTTTTTTGTTTCAATGTTTCCACTAGTTTTACATACTATTTTAAAAATTAAAAAAACATATTTGTTAGATTGCTTTGTATTTTTCATTGGTGATTTATATAATTATCTATTTTTGAAATGTATGCCTCTTTATTTTCTTTATTTTTTTTCATTTTCTTCACAAGAAATCGACGATGAAGTTAAGTTAACAAATAAATTTATATCAAAGTATATTCCTTTCGCTAAAAATTAGACACGAAATGCGTAATACGCAGCACAGTTAAGGTTACAGTAAGGAGGCGGGGCCTAATTTGTACGGGAAATGTTTACTATGACGTCACGCATAATATAAGGTCTTCAAAATACCACAAAATGAAATTATTTGCTATTTCAAACAGATGGATAGCTGTATACCACATACAAACTTACTATTACATGCAATTTTGTCGTTTATTAAATCCCACACAACAGTATATAAACGATGCATCGATCGCAATGCACTTGTCAATGTGACGTCATCTCGCAAAAATGACGCAGTTTTTACACAGTCAGAGGTTGATCAAGTCACATTTTGTACAATGAAAAATGTGTTTTGTTCCCAAATAAAATATTATTTGCGGTAAAATAAAAAGCCATTAAATTGGATTCGATGTTTATCTTAGTATTTTATTCATAAACTGTACGTGCATTTATCAGACAATCGATACTGTCGTGTGTTTGTATGCAGATTCATGGAAAAAGTAATGGAAGGGCCCTAATAAATCGATTTATTGCAAGGGCATACCCTCAATGTATCTTGTCAAAATTTTACACATAAACTCAAGAAGCATTAAGATATTTGAAAAGTGCTGCGAACCTTTTGAAATCTTGCAAATAAATTAATTATAGCTATATTCAATGTAGTTGTCCAGCAAAATATTCAACCTGCGTCCATCAAATTAAATTTTACCAATTAAAAAGGGGAATCTATATAGGTTCGCAGCATTTTTCACAAACTACATATAGTGTTGAAAAGGATTATAAAATAAACTAAGATTTTTAGATTGGTTATGCCCTTGTAATATTGGAATTTATAGATGACCTCTAAACTGCAAGTATAATTGCCAAAGTCATGTGACGTCGACATCACATGACAAGTCTAAATAAAAAATCTAAATGTCCCCAACATGTAGATTTAAACCACATTACATTTTTTTGATATCAGTGAAATCCTAAAAAGATTCGCTCACCCTAATAAAGTATGTATTTTTTATCTTAAAAAATCGCCGATACTTCCATTTGTAACCTTACCTGTACTGCGTAATGACCTTTACAACCAAAGAAAAACTTGTTTTGGAATAAACAGTGTGTATATATATATAGTAGCTTTGGCAACTTGAATATTGAACTCTAAAGGTAAACAAGAATTGAACGACCTCACACCTCCTTAGGAAAACGTACGGTATAATTTTCAATTAAAGTGTGATGATATTGGACAACGACCATGTAATTATAATGCAATGATTGGCTAGTACAGTGCCAATATATTTGCCAAACAAGGGACATTTTAATCGTAGATGCTGGTCATGATTGCCATTCATCAATGAACCAATAAAACCAGACTTGTTGGCCTAAAGTTGTGACATATTTATTGATTTTATATTATTCAACGTCTCTCTCGAGCATTTTCACTCATATGGAGAAGCCACCACTTGCCGATGGAGAGCGGCAAGATTTGTTCTATGCTCAGCACTTAGGGTCATTGAGAATGGAGGTAACTTTTTGTTGCCAGCATCTACCTCGACACGGGACCTCGGTTTATACAGTCACATCCGAAGGACCGGACTCTACGGTGCACAGTGAGATTCTAGCTAACCCACGACGTAAGAATCAACTCCTTACCTTGCGATTTTAGAACCGAAGCTATAACCACTGTGCCACGTGGACAACTGACAACATAATAATACTAACTGGGACAAAGAAGATATTGTCTTGAGAGTAATAATTACAGGTGTAATAAATACAGGATTACAGAATTTGAGTTCATTTGATGCAAATCAAGTAAATGTAGCAAACATTTTGAATATACCTGTGGGTGTGATATCTTATAGTGACTGTCATAATTCAAACTCTTTAACATAATACTTGCTTTGACATTCTTTCGTAGTTTCGTTGTACATGTAATCATTGCAGCATCTATATCCCATTTTTCTCCTGTATGGAAGGAGATATTTAACAAATGATTATTTAGGCAAAAGGACAGATGTTAGAAAAATACTGATATATTCATGCTGTTTTGCAGGAGTATCATGAAAGTTCCATAGCATTGCCTCTAAATAAAGTCCGTAATTAGATAATTGGTTATACCATTTCAACAATACTTTGTTTAGACAAGGTATATTGTTTGAACTACCGGTAAATAAACGTTATTCATTTGTCCTCTGATCTGTGTAGGTATTTGTTTTGTTTGCGTTTATTTCTGATTTGATATTTATAGAAAAAAATAATATGAATACGAGGTAACAAATAAACATTCAATGAACATTACCCATACCCTTTGCAGGCTTCATCCACCTGGAAACCTAGTGAGGTAGAGCAAAAAATAAATTACGCAAAGAAAAGCCACATGTTGAAACAAATCTGAATATTATTTCAGAATGAATTGCATTTCCGTGTTTTTAAATTTTAAGCAAAATGTTTATGGTATGAAACCATTAATAATGATTTAGACAGGATGTAGAAAATAATTTGTTTCCGATTTTTGACACAATTTGCTGAATGAATTACATTTTTGTGATTGTAAATTTTAAGCAAAATCTGTATGGTACATAATCATGGATAAATGATTTAAACAGGATGAAGACAATAATTTGTTTCCGATTTTTTACACAATTTGCTGAAGTGCCCATGTTTTCAATTCGATTGAAGAGTATTTTACCATTGACAAATTATGCTATATAAAAAGGAATTGTCGAAAATAACATGCACATTATTTTTATACATCAAACATACATAATTTATTTAATGTATAAAGACCAAATACACAAAAAAGAAAGTTATTTTATCTAATCTTATGTATAGTTTTCGGAAGTGATGCTCATTTCTTTGTTATCCTTTAGATACTTTATGATTTCCGATGAAATTAGGGCAACATCGTAATATTTTTAATCTGCCTCTGTCTGTTTTGGCTAAATAACTTAAAAATATACCAGAAGAGTAACTGAATGAACATCACTATTGAGAAAGTATACTAGTATAGCTAGATGCATAGGGACAGCCTAAGACATTATACAGTAACTTTTTGCTTGCCTTGCTCATTGAATTTTTGGTTATATTTGACATTTCAGTTTTTGTCCTAAAATCGAAATCCTCGTGACTTTAGAGGGTCACGTGATGACAAAAATACCGATGTGAAAAGCAATAAGCATTTCAAGATAACTTAAAGCTATTTTAACTAAAGTTTCAAGCTTAAAATAAAACAGTTAAACATTAAGTGTATCGTGTTGGGTGACATTATATATTTACATATAACTTGTATCGGATAACTGCAATCCAAATAAGGTAGACCATTAACATGTCTATTTGAATAAAAATATTAATGTTATTGTTCCAATTTCTCCATACCGCTCTGCACAAATGATATTTATTTTAATGTTCATAGCTTAAATCAGTAACTTGAGTACCAATAAGCATCTATAAATTAAAATAAATAATCAAATTTAATAAAAAAGTTTAAAAGTAAAATAAATGAAATAGGATAATTGTACAGAAAGTTTAAAAAATAAGAATGCATCTTATTAAAACATATGTTAAATGCAATAACGAATGAAATGAATAAATTAATAAATTAGAGGAAAAATTTATCCAGTTGAGAAACCTTTCTATTTTAAAGAGAGTGAGTCAAACTCCTGAAGCATAATATCCTCTGTACAATCTTTAGCATCCTCTTTCTCTTGTCTTCTTTCTATTATTTAAAACAAACACAAAAGGATTAAGGACACTTGCAATAATTGAAAATTAAGATATATGATTTTCTATATATTATTCATTTTTGCATGATTAAAAATGTTCAAATATAAATTTAATACATTATCTAAAAAATGTAATTTTTGTTTTCTAAGTTTGGAATTCTCACTTTTTGTCAATTATACTAATTAAAAAAAAGAAATTTTTGTTCTTTGGAATAAAATATACAAGAGTCTACAAATTAATAAGGGACATAATTTGATGTGTCCAACAGATAATAAGAAGACCTTGCTTCTGCATACTATTTCGGGCTTTTTTCACAATAAACTACTCTTACTCTTACCATATTGTGATAAATGCCTTTAATTCCAGTGAAAGGGCGATAACTATTGTAGCCTTATTCCCGAATTTCAAGCTTTCGTAAGGCCATGAATATCATATAAATTGAGTAAATTAAATCAAGCCCTCAGCGATACTGATTTAGATCATTCTGGATAAAGAGCGTGGAAGTAGACAGACTTTTAAAAAAATATTTTAAAGATTTTTAGTCCAATATCCTGAATATCCACTGTCATCGAAACTCCAGAGGTTGCTACAATGCCTCCAAAAAACAAGGAAGAGGGGGTGCAAGGAGGGACAAGGAACCTCCGATGGTTCGAAAAGAAAAAGAAAACTGAGCAGACGGTTGGTTGATGGGCCTCTGAATTCAGACAAACCAGAGAGCGAGGCAGCACCGGCAGTGCCCTCATTAGATGAAAGCGTTAGTAACCAGAGGGAACAGGGTCCACCACAGCCGGACAAGGTTGCAGGGCCAGGTATAAACATTGATTTTAATAAAAATTTGCACGAAGCAAGAAGCTTGGACACGAATCAGTCTGGCTCGTTTAATTTTGTAGCTCAATGTAAAGGGAGTTTTTCGACTGGGGAACAGGTGCAGGTTACAAGTAGTCGCCCATCGACTGAAATTAGCATTTGTGATCTTATAGGCAGCCATGTGCCTGTAGCCATTCGAGAATAAATATGGGCAGCTTCTTACATAGATCTGGCATTATTGTTAAAACAGGCTCATGACCTTAGGACAGACCCTCACATTACTGGGGAGTTGGTGATCTAAAATGGCTAATTAGTTGTCGAAAAACAACGCTTGAAGTCAATAAATAATATACACACTTGAACTACCGCGTTTATTATATGCATGTCAATATACCTTGAGAGGTTTCCAGGGAAAGCCCAAGAAATGATTAAGTATATGCATAGTATTCGATTGGCCGCTAGTAGACAGGGTCATTTGGATTGGTCAAAGTATGATGAGCAATTTCGCTTAAAAAAAAAGAGAGGTACCCTATATTTCATCATGTGAGGAAGTGGATTTTGAATTGGGGTAATGTTGATAACACCGGGGCAGCCAGAACAATCTGCTTCACAAACATCTCATATGGGCATACTTTCAGGAAACGCATGGGATAGTTCCTTTCGCACCCGGACTCAAACAATATCCCTGAACAACAACCCAATGTGGGGGGTCCGGATTCAACCAGGGCTATAAAATTAATAAATCACAGTCACCAAGGTCTGTTGACAACTGCTATGCCTTTAATAGGGGCTCATGCTCATTTAATCCCTGCAGATTTAGACATAGATGCACAAACGGTGGGGGACCTCACCCCGGAATCAACTGCTCCTTCAGGCAGAAATAATGCCGATACAACACTATATGACCTTGCTGCCACACCCATTAAACACAAAACTGTACAACGAATAAAAGTCATATCCTTTCAATTAAAAGGAACAGCAACTGTTAGATGGTTTTAAATTCGTTTTCTGTTGCACTACGCCGGCCCTAGAACTTACAGGGAAGCAAGAAATCTTAAATCGGCCAGAGTTGCCCCTCAAGTTGTAGAGCAAAAACTCGCTAAAGAAGTCACCTTGGGTAGGATGGCTGGTCCTTTTCACGTTGTTCCTTTACTCACACTTCGTGTATCACCAGTAGGCCTTGTGCCCCAAAAAGATGGGGATTTTCGTTTAATTCATCACTTGTCCAACCCAGACTTCGATTCAGTTGATTATTTTATTGACCCGGACATTTGCACTGTGAAGTATAGCAATATAGACGAAGCAGTATCAATGATACAGGAATTGGGACGGGGTACCTTATTGGCCAAAACTGACCTTAAGAGTGCATTCCGCATATTGCCCATTTATCCAGGGGACTTTGACCTTTTAGGCATCAAATGCAATGGAAAATATTATTATGACAAATGTTTGCCATTTAGTTCCAAGCTTTCTTGTGCCTTATTTAATCGATTTAGTACATTCTTGCATTGGCTCATTATAGTAAAAAAATCAAATAATCAAAACCAAATACATTATCTTGATGATTTTTTATTTGCAGGAAAAGCAGGTGACTCTATTTGTAAACATACTCTTGATACCTTTCATCAGGTCTGTGCTGTTCTGGGGGTCCCAATAGCTAACGACAAAACAGTAGAGCCCACAACATTGCTTGACATTTCTAGGAGTGGAATTAGATACTGTGTCTATGATTATGCGCTTACCACAAGTCAAATTGACTGAGCTACGTACTAAAATTCAAAACACCTGAAAGGCCAAAAAGGTTACTTTACGAGATCTACAGTCTATAATAGGGTTATTGAATTTTGCTTGTCAGGTAGTTGCAGCATGTAGAGCTTTCATTAGGAGACTCATAGATGCCACGATAGGTGTAAGGAAGGCAAAACACGTAATAAGAGTAACATCTTCTATGAAATTAGACTTAGTTATGTGGCTCGATTTCCTTAACCATTATAATGGAGTGACCCTCTTTCCTGAGAGACTATGGGTCTACAATGATACTCTCCAGTTATATACAGATAGTGTAAGGGGTAGGTCGGGGGGATTTGGAATATTTTTTCATAATAGGTGGGCTTTTGGTAGATGGCCTCAGCATTGGTCGGAAACAGGAAGGCTGCGTGACATGACATTTCTTGAGTTGTTCCCTGTGGCAGTAGCTATATTAGTGTGGGGTTATCAGTTGGCTAATAAAAAGATATTATTCCATATTGACAATCAAGCAGTTGAACACACAGTCAACAAACAAACTTTTAAATCTGAAGACGTTATGAAACTGGTTAGGAAACTTGTGCTTAATACCCTTTATTTTAACAAAAGATTTAAGGCAGAGTACATAGATACCAAATCAAACGCAATTGCAGATTTTATTTCTCGTTGCCAGTAGCGTCGTTTTCGGGATTTGGCTCCACAAGAAGACCCAGCACCTATCCAGTTGCCCCTAGAAATCTGGGAGATCTGACTTTGGAAACCAATAAACTGATGAAGGCCTCTATGGCTGAGAATACATGGCACACATATAAGGCTGCTTTCCAAAGTTTCAAGCATTTCAGGTATTTGTTTGGTTTTCTGTCTACTTGGCCAGCTCCGGTAGATCATGTAGTTCATTATATAACTTATATGTCAACTGAGGGGAAATCACCTGGATTTATTAAGACATACATTTTGGGCTTGTCATACATGTACAAGATTCATGGTTTTACAGACGTCACAAAATCTTTTATTGTTTCAAAGTTGTTGGAAGGGGCTGCAAGGCTGATGCCAAAACAAGATACACGAGCCCCTATTACTTTAGAGATACTGGTAGCACTTCTACAGGCTTTAGAAAAGGTCTGTTCCTCTAGTTATGAAGTTCACCTTTTTAAGGCTGCTTTTTGCCTGGCATTTTTTGGCTTCTTAAGAGTAGGCGAATTGACTTGTAAATCACTAAGAGGGCAGGACTCACGACCTTTGCAACAAAGCGACATTGACATCAGATAGAAGTCAGGTGCATACATTGTACTCTTCATACATAAGATTCACTTAATTTTGTTTTCCTTACAAATTTCAAGTTTTGTAGGTGGTAAGAGAGTAGTGTGGGTAGTGGGATCCTCCATAGTATCCTGGGCATCCAGAAGTATCAACGACAGACCTGGGGGAAGAAACCTCACTCTGCAAGATAAGAACATCTCCATAATGTGATTTGGTGTCAGGGGAATGAGATGGGAAGAATTTGTCTCCTTTTTTGAAAATAAACTGAAATCTAATCCTCCACCAAATTATTTGGTGGTTCACTTGGGTTCTAATGACCTAGGCATTGTGCCAGGAAGACTACTTTATGAAAATATCAAATGTTCCTTCCTTAGTTGCAAGTAACTGGCTCCAAACATGTTTGTTATTTAGTCTGATATGTTACCAAGTTTATACTGGCACAATGCTAAATCTGCATCCAAAGTTGATGTTATACGAAAAGATGTAAACCGCAGAGTAAAGCAATTCCTTAAAGCAGAAGGGGGTATGTCATCAGACATCCAACAATTACTTTTGTCCAAAAAGAGCTGTTTAGATATGATGGCACACATTTTAATGATTTAGGAAATTCTGTGTTGTGTTTCTCAATAGTTTGCAGGGTGGTCTCGAAGCCTTCTTAGACAATCAGAGGGATGTAAAGGTATTCCCACAGCTCGATAACATGATTTTCAAACAATTAGCCTTCACGTGTATGCGTATAAAGGTATGTTAATATTTGCATTTATGATTTTGATATGTTACATGGAAGGATCGGTGGGTGAAAGCATTAAAGGCGTAGGCGTATAGGGTACACAACGTGTTCATGGCAAGTGAAGTTGTATAGACAAGTTCATTTGGCGGAGTTCGGGGATTACCACGAATGAGGATTTCTACCATGTCTGGCTCAAAACTCTGTGTTATCTATCCTCAATACTGGGGAAGATTTGGGGGTTACCTCAGCGGCACCTGAGGGACCGGCTTGACCCTTGTGGGACTAGGGACAGGTTTTGAGGGTCTAAGGTACCCAGCTAACCCTGGGGGTGTTATCCCCATGCTGTTTTGTACCAGGGGAGACAGTAAAGAGTGAGGACCTGGGTCAGAACTTGAAATCCCTTTTCGTATGTGACGGTCACTCTTCGGTTCCAAGAGGTCTGTTCCCAC